TTATTCTACTCTCGTGTAGTTAATTTAGTTAACTTAACTAACTAATAACTTACTTTACCTTTTACTTTTAGTTAGAAGTAAAGTAAATAAATATAGTATATATATATATATATATATATATATATATATATATATCCCTATAAGGTAACATTTCCATCCCTGGAATCATCCTTGTAGCTCTCCTCTGAACCCTTTGAAATAAGTCAATATCAATCAATAAGTCAATATTTATGAGATCCTTTCTTAGATTAAGACAAAACTATACAGAGTATTCTATATGAGGTCTAACTAGTGATTTATATAAAGATATAATTACCTCTTATTTTTTCTTACTTTTAATCATTACATCTGTAAATTCTCCATAAAATTTCATAGCTTTACTTTGATGGCTTGAGTGACTTATTTAAGTGACTTACTCACTACTATGTCAAGATTTTTTGTACAGTCTCGTGTTTTTGATTGAACTCTGACCTGACTCCCCTGTCTTCCCTATGTGTTCAACATGTAGTTGAGCTAGAATATATAGTTCACTTGGTATTCCATTGGGTTACATTTAAGCATGTTATATTGGTGAGTGTGTATGTATGCAAAAATGCTATTTATTTTAACATTTTTAGCCCGACACTACTGTAGATGTTGACAATATTATGACAGTGACAACCTTCACAAAATGAAGTTTCTTGTATACTGTCTCGTGCAATCCTTAAACATTTTCTAAATCAAAATAGTCACTTATTTAAGCCTGAAGACAGGTACAGCATAGCAACTGAAAGTTTGGTAATACAGAACTAAAAACTATTAACATAGAGATAACCTGTAATATTTATTTTGTTTGAATAAAATGCCATTATATAATAAGTATTTTATTTTATTAGAAATATGCAATTATATTTAATATTTTTTGTAATACTGTCAAAGAAATTAAACTTTTTTTTTTTGTGATTTAGCTATTGTCATAAGACCACATCTGATATGTGACTAAGCAAATTTTAAAACTGAAATGGAGGAAAGTATTGATGCAACTTTGCGGAGAATTAATCAACAAGGAGAGGACATCTTATACAGAGCACGTTTAAGGATTGAGAAGCAAAATTTCAAAACTGAGGATTTAAAAGGCAAACCTCTTAGTGTTAGTAACTTTGATCACAAAGACTTTAATAACTTACATTTAATGCTTGAAAATAATCAAACTATATACTGTATATTAAATAAAACAAAAAATCTAAATTAATGGTTTTACAGTTTCATTATATTTTTGTATAAAAGAACCTGGGTGTATTAGAAAACTTTTGTATGAAACATTTAAAACCAGAAGATGCACAGAAGAACATTTCACATAATTAAATTTAAGCCTGACACATTAGATATTTGTAAGTTCTTTTATTGTAAACACTTTTTATGCATGCAAAACAATTAAATATCTTTGATCACTTTACAAGAATAAAAGAAATTGATAAATCCAAGTCATTCTGGAGTAACCTTGTCATTCTGAATGCAGCTAGAAAAAATTTAATGTCATTAGCAAACTTTACTAATTATGCCCTTATCAGTATCGTTAATGTAACTAAAAAAAAAAAGAGCAAAGGCCCAAGCACTGATCCATATAGCACACCATTTATAACAAAGATCCAGTTTCACTGGATTACATTAATAAAACTTCTTGGTTTCTCTCACAAGTCACCCTGCAATCCAATCAAATAGTATTTCTCTCTAATCCTCAAATTTGAGTTTTTTTTAGCTAATCCTACTTATGATGTTTTATGAAACATTTCCTGAGAATCTAAGTACATCAAATCCACACCCTTTCTGTCATCCAGATAAATTCAATTGTATGATACAGTTTTGTGCTGTCATATATCTGTGTGGACTTGCATTTTTACATTCAGGTGAAATATATTGGCTAATTGGATTTAATATATAATCATATTGTAACTGCCACTTCCTCCAGCTTCAACATTTTTCATTGACCTTTTCTTATCTCCATTGATTGTTATCCTTGTAGCATATAACAATAGAAAAAAGTAATAATTTAAAGATTAACATTTCAGAATAATTTTTCATTTAACTGATGTAATGTGGCATTTAATGACATATTTTATTAT